AGGGTAGGTGATTACACCACCTTTGGAAGGAGCTTATTCCACAGTCTGGACACCCTAGTTGTGAAGTAGTTTTTCCTAATGTTGAGCCTGAAATGGTCTTCCTGGAGTTTGTCACCATTACTTATAGTTTTCCCCCTCAAAGATGCCTTGGTAAGCAGTTGCTCAATGTATGCCTCTGATGTAGTGGTAAGTTGCTACCAAGACCCCTCTCAGCCTTCTTTTGTCCAGGCTGAAGAGTCCTGGATCCCTCAGTCTTTCCTCATACGCCTTGCCATGCTGATCATACGGGTGGCCCTTCTCTGGACACTCTCAAGCTTTATCACATCCTTGTTAAAGTGCGGCACCTAGAACTGGATGCTCCAGTCTCCAGCTGCAGTCTCACCAATGTCGAGTAGAGTGGAAGAATCACTTCTTTGGTTTTGCTTGAGATGCATCGATTGATGCATGCCAGGGTATCATTAGCCCTGTTGGTTACAGCATTGCACTGCTGGCTCATGTTCATACTGTGGTCCATTATTACCCCCAGATACCTTTCATTCATAATGCTGGTCAGGTTGGCATTGTTAAGCCTGTAGATGTGCAGGGGATTGTTCATCCCCAGGTGGAGCACTTGACATTTCTCAACATTAAACTTCATCTGGTTCCAGTCCACCTGACTTGTCAGCCTGTCTAGGCCCACTTGTATCTGCAGCCTATCTTCAAGTGTGACCATGCTTCCCTATAACTTGTTGTTATCCATGGATTTGACCAGTGAGTTCTTCACCCCCACATCCAAATCAGTGAAGAAGATGTTGAATTTGAGTGGCCAAGGTCTGGAATGGGCTCCCAAGGGAGGTGGTGCTCTCCCCTACCCTGGGGGTCTTCAATAGGAGGTTAGATAGGCATCTAGCTGGGGTCATCTAAACCCAGCACTCCTTCCTGCCTATGCAGGCGGTCGGCCGCCATTTCCTGCCTATGCAGGGGGTCGGACTCAATGATCTATTGAGGTCCCTTCCGACCCTAACATCTATGAATAGCACTAGACTAAGCACCAACCCCTGAGGGACACCACTGGCCACTTCCTGCCAAGAAGACATAGATCTGTTCATTAGAACTCTCTGGGGCTTACCCCATGGCAGTCTTCCTACTCACCTGACTGTTTCACAGTTTAGCCCACAGACTTCAAATTTTCTCCTCTTCACTTTATGTGACTTAGTCTGAAAACTAAAATGTGGGCATATTGCAATTCCCCACCCCTCCCCCGTGACTTACAGAGCATCTAATAGAATCACATTTGCACACCTAATGTATGCAATGGGATGTGGGACAAAATGTGTTTTGCATAGCCTCCTGAATTGATGTCAAATATTAACATCAATCAGGATCATCAAACAACTGTTTTTCAAATTCATGACAAGAGATGTTCCCTGTTTAATTAATATATTGGTTTAATTGCTGAACTTGTGTATAGTTCATAACTAAAAGAGCATCATTTAAGTACCAGTCATGTAAGGAATGGTAGTTTTAGTTACATACCAGTATATTTTCATTTTAAAAAGTTGGCATTAAAGGATTGCTTAGTTCATTTTTTCCTACTCATCAGTCTTTCCAAACTTCAGAACTTCTTTAAAGGTTTGAAACATATTTAAAAGATCATCAGTATTTCTGGGCATGAAGTAAGATATGTAACATCAATATGTGTGAGATATCTAATATCCAGCAGTTTATTTGCTAGAGTGATGAAGTTAGGTGCTGCTATAAAAAGAGGAAAATTATTGAGAAAAATGACAGATTTTTCCTGTTTGAGTAGCATCTCTCTCTCTCTCATCAGCCAATAAAATAGATTGGTTACTTTTCAAGTTATGTAGTCAGATAATTACGTCAGGGTGAAGGATGCCATTTAGAGCCAAAGCTGGCAGCCAATGGGTTGTCTACTTCAAATTTAATTCTTTTTACCTGTAACCTAAATAATTTTGGTATCCACTGAAAAAATAAATTAAGTTAATGAATTTGGACTTTCTAAATGGGCTAGCTATGCAGGGAGTTGTGCATTGCATCAGGGCCTTATATTTTAATATCTTCTTTTATCATCTCAAAACAGTTAATTTTGTTTTACAGGAGAATACATTTAACAAAATCTAAAATGTGGCTACTCCTCCTTCCATTCTTGTTTTTTTTTTTAGTTTTAAAAATTCATTTTTTAGTTACTTCAATTAAGAATTAATTTATTTTCTGAAAATGTATTGGTTAAAATTGTGGCTTGTACCTACTGAAATCATTATCCACTGACATAGCTATATTTAAAGTGATTTCTTTTAAGAATGTGATAGACTGCTGAAATGTGGAAACTGCAAGTTTTCACTATTTTGACTGTCCTTTCTAATGTACCACCTGGTGGACCCAAAATTGGAGTGACAGGGACGTGGCCACGCCCCACATTAGAGGTGGGGCACATACATGAGAAAGAGCTCCTTATGCATGTGCCTCATCCCTTTGCTGTGATCCTGGTTTCTAGTGAACTCTCAGCAGCTCCTGTTATGTAGCACATACATAATGTCTTCTTCTTGTATATACCCCATACCTGAAGGTAAAGCCACTTCCCCTAGCATTGTAATTCTGGATTCACTAATGGGTATACAGGTTTCCCTCACTTTATGCTGTACATGCATTCCTGGAAAATGGCACATAACTCAAATTCACATAAAGGGAACCCACTTTACAATGTTACAAATAGGGATACATTCTGAGACCTTGACTGTACTGACCCCCAGACCCATTTCTACCACTTTTACAAGACAATTGTGGTAGTCACAAATGGCAGACAGTTCACACAAGCACAGGGTGGCAGTGAAAGTTTAGTTGGTGTAAAGAGAGAGTGGTGAAGGCTTCATTGATGGATCAGGGAGAAGGGTAGGAGATAAGGTAGCAGGGGGCTTAGAAGCCATAATGGGGATGGCAACTGGAGAAACACATGTCACAGACAATGAGTGAGGAGCACAGATCCACACAGGAGACTATTTTGGTATGCATCGCTCGTGCAATGCACAGCACAAAGCAGGTAACTGGACATTTACCACACTGATCGCATAACAGTGAATTTACCTCACATATAACAAATAATTGGTGTAAAAAGGGTCATCGCATAATAGCAAATTTGCACATATAGAACCCACATAAAGCGAGGGAACCCTGTATTAGGAAGTCAAAATGGTGAAACTTTATGCTGTGAGGTCATCAGTCAGGGGTCTGCTCAAAGTCCCTGCTTTCAAGGAGCTCCGGAGCCTGCTGCTTTTTTCCCCCTTTTTCCTTATCTCCTCCCCACCTACTGAATTTAGGGGCAGGGGAAGAAGACGACAGGATTAGCAGCAGTAGCACAGAGCCTCCAAGCTGAGTGAAAGCAGAGGCTGCATGTTGACTGTCATTTGTCCACTCCTAAATTCATCAGGGAAAAAGGAGAAGGGAGGGGAAGAGTGATAAGCAGTGGTCTCCAGAGCTGCTTGAAACTGGGGACTCTGGGCAGAGCCTGTGCTGAGCAGCAGAAAGCTTATAGAAGTTACAGCCCATGCAGAGCTCCCAGAAGGAGCTGCACCAAAATGCTGGTGAGGTATGAGAGCTTACTGTTTATACAGGGCACAGCTAAAGAAGGGTGCAACCACATTGCTGCACCACCCCTGGCTCCTCCCTTGAGTGTATCCCCTCCTTTTTAAAATACAAAGTTCTGATTCTCAGGGGTTCTTCCTTAGCATCTTAACAGAATTTCATGAAAGTGTTTAAAACTATAAATATTTAAATCAGTTGGGAAGCCAAAATATTAGTCTTTGAAATTATAAAATTAGAGATAAATCAGCCTGACCTCAATACCCGGAAAGATCATGGAGAAAACCTTCTAGGAATCTATTGTAAAACACCTGGAGGAGAACAAGGTGATCAGGAACAGCCAGCATAGATTCACCAAGAGCAAGTCATGCTTGATCAAATTGATTTCCTTCCATGATAAGGTGTTGGCAACACATAGGGGGTGCAACGGGTACATGCACACCCCCTGAGATTGGCGGTGCACCCCCTGTGAAAAGCGCTGCCAACGCTGCTTGTGGCACCTGCAGGTGGTTGCCAGTTGCCACTCCCCTTGCTTCCAACACTGCCAGTGGCATCTGCAGGCAGTTCCTGATTGCCACTGGCTGCTGGGTGGTTGGTGTCTGTGAGTGGTCGCCAGCCACCCCACCCCTTACCACTGACACTGCTGCGGATGCCTGCAAGAGCTCCTCACTCAGCCCACCCCTGCCGCCGACACCTCCATGTCTGCCTGCAGGAGCTCCCTGCTCACTGCCACCACACCGCACCACCGACACCCCTCCCACTGCCTATGGGCGGTCACTGCACCCCCCACCCCCAGGCTCCAGGGGCAAGCATCATTCATGATAGGGTGGCAGGCTCTGTGGGTGGAAATAGAGCAGTGGATGGGATATACCTTGACTTTAGAAAGGTTTTTGACACTGTCTCTCATGACATTACCATTAACAAGCAAACAGTCTACAAACTAGATCAAAGGTGGATATATATCTGATTGATTCATTGTGCTCATCAAGTAGTCATCCATGGCTCAATTTCTGGTCAGAAGATGGTATCAAGTAGACTTCCTGAAAGATGTGTCTTGGATTCTCTATTGTTAAATATGTTCACTAATTATCAGATGATTGGATCAAGTGCCCAGTTAGCAAATTTGCAAATGACACCAAGCTGAATGAAGTTTCAGACACTCTGGAGGGTAGGGGTAGGATACAGAATGACTTGGACAGGCTAGAAAAATTGTCTGCAATTCAACGAGGACAAGTGCAAGCCCTGCACTTGCAACAAAATAGCTGAATGCAATAACACTGGGTAATGAGTGTCTGGACTGCAGTACTAGAGCAAAAGGACCTGGGGGTTATAGTAGACCAATTGCAGCCAACCTTTTCTCAGCAGGCATGCCACAAATCAGGTCTACACCCTCCTTATGTGTCACTTGGATCCCTTTTTCTTACCTCATCTGTTACTCAGGTTTCTGCTGCTTGCTGTGTGCTCCCTTCCTGACCTGCTGCTCTTCTTTCTGCTCCTTGTTCTATATGCCACTGTGCTGCTGGTCTCCTCACCAGTCTGCTGCATGTCACTTGTGGCACCCATGTGACAGGCTGGACACCCAGGCTGGAGAACATAAGGTAAATTTAAGCTAACAGTGTGTTCTTGTGACTAGAAAGGCTACAAGTATACTGAGTTCTATTAATAGAAGTGTTATTTGAAAAACCAAGGGAAGAAATTATTCCATACTGTTCAGCACTGGTTTGGCTACACCTGGAGTAGTGTCTCTCTTTTGGGCTCCACACTTCAACTAGCATATGGATAGATTGGAAAGAGTCCAGTATAGAATAACAAAAATGATAAGGCATGCTTCCCAAGCCTCTAATGAGGAAAGATTGAAAGAACTAAGGATATTTAGTTTGGAGAAGAGAAAACTGAGGTGGGATTTGATAACATTTTTTAAATACGCGAAGGGCAATTATAGAAAGGATGGAGATGGGCTTTTTCTGGGGCCAGGAGAACATGACTAGTAGCAATAGGCTCAAACTAGAACAGAGGTCATTTAGGTTAGAGATTACGAGGAATTTTCTCACTGATGAGACTTGATTGTCTATTCACCTACTTTAATCTATACACCAAAAGGCTGTAACTATGTTTACTTTTTAAAAGCAGACATAAATGGCTATTTAAAACAGTCTGTGTTATTGAATATATATTTAAAAAAAAAATAAAGGCTAGACCTAGATTCAGGGACACATTCATTTTGTAAATTAAAACATTTTGCACAGTATGGGTGCTTCAACAAGTTGAACTTGGCCCAATGATAGATGTTGGACATCTACAACAGTATATTTAGGAACCTTTATTTTCTTTCTCCTTATGCAAATAATGCTTCTGAGTTCTATTTTTCTCTTTAACTTTTAGAAAACCCCACAGTAGTCATTCAATATTCATTCCGGCCACTATCACAAGTGTATCTTTTTTACCACAACCTATAAATTCACTCTGTAGGCCTGAAAGCCACCTTAGCAAAATGCTTAGCATAAACAATGTCTTTTTTTGCCTTGACATAACTAACACCACTAACTAAAAGGAAAGCAACTGGGTCACAGTTTAGGGTAACCTCTTTATAAGCCACATCAGCAATAAAATTAAAAGAGGATGTGGTTAGCTGTTTAAAATAACGGCATGCAGACACCAACCTGATAGGAAGACAACTGCTGTAAAAGGTGATTGGTGAATATTTATCATAAACTGTATATGGAACATGCAGAAGAGAATTGTAAAAAAGTACATAAAAACCTAGGGGGGGAAAAAAAACCCATAAAATTGGGGAAGATCAAGATACAGGAAAAGAAACAACTACTACAAGAGCTCCACTGCCATGATGCATACCTGGCTAGCTGAAATCACTCTATCCATCAGAAGGCTTGCATAAGAATATTAATGTTGACTATTAGGGCTTGCTTAGAAGTTTGATGTTATATTCAAAGCCTTGAGTAAATAATGGTATTTTATGTGTGTTCAATAAATTAGGATTTGGAATTGGAAGAGTCTTACCCATCATTTTATTTCTATTCACCCCACCACTTAATTAAATTTAGTGCAACACTTCTCAGGGAGAACTACCTTCATCTGCTGACAGATGACTCCAGAAACAGCAAAAACGACAGACTAAAAATAGCCAAAATAAAATGGGCTGTGGTTATGGATATTGTAAAAAAATTAAGTTAGCTTAATTGCTTGGTAATCATTCCATTGATTTTATCTTAAAACTTACTGCAGCAACTGTATGAGAAAGAAAACAATTTTATAAAAAATGGAAAAGAAGATAGCTAGAGGAGGAAAAGAAGAAAAGGAGAAAGAAACTGCTTTCACTAAGAACGAGACTTCAGAAGAAAGAAGCATCTTCAAAAAAATAGTTTAAGTCAAAAAGATTTCTAGGTTTTTAAAAATATGACATTTTAAAATGTGACTGTTTCCTTTGCTATTTATTGTTCAGTTGATTTTATTACATCACACAAAGTGACATTCAGTCTGCACAAATGGCCAAGAGAAGGCTTAAGAAAGACTTTAATGTTACATAACTGGTTGATATGGTGAATCTGCCTCTGAACAGTAAAGATTGCTAGGGCTGTGTGAAATTTTGGCAGCCGTTTCATTTCAGAGGTGTTTTGGCCTCTTTTCAGTGCCTGAAACACCAAATCCAAAATGAAATGGACGGCTCCGAAACATCTCCAAAATGAAACAAAATCATCCAAAAATGTTTCGAAATGTTTTGGATGTTTCCAAATGTTTCAGAGGCACTCCCCGGGAATAGTCCAGCACAGTCCTGCAGCCCTCCTTTTAAAGTGCTGGGAGGCTGGAGCCAGGCAGGGGATGGGGATGGGCAGGGCAGCCATGGGGGCTTCTCCCTCAGCTCCCTGCACTGGGGTAGAGGCAGACACAGCTGGAGGAGCTGTGAGAGAAGCCCCCTTGGCTTCGCTGCCTGGTCCCATCCCCTGCCTGACCCAAACCTCCTGGCACTTAAAAAAAAGAAAGAAAAAGCCCTGCACTCACTGGATGCAGCAGCACTGATTGGGGCCTCTGAGGGCTCGTGGCAGACCCCCCCCCCATGCAGCACGGGGCAGCAGGGATCACCCCCCGCTCCCCCACCTGGTACCCATGCAGCAGCTGCCCATGGTGTAGGTGCAGCATGGCTCAGCAAGGCGCCACACACTGTCCAGGAGCTGGGGCCACTGGATCTGAGTGGTGCTGGCAGGTGACTGCTGGAGCTGCCCCAGCTTCCAGATAGCATGCAGTGCCCTGCTGAGCTGTACTGCACCTGTGCCATGGAGTAGCTGATGTGTGGGTGCCAGACAGGGAGGAAGGGCTATCCCTGCTGCCCCCCATTGTCCTACAGTGCCTGGTGGGGCTCTGCCATGAGCCTTGATCACTGCTGCTGCAGCGAGTGCAGGGCTTCTTCTTTGCTGTATTGTTTTTAAGTGTTGGAAGGCTTGGGCTGGGTAGGGGATGGGGTCAAGCAGTGCATCCATGGGGGCTTCTTCCATGGCTCCTCCCACTGGGACAGATGCAGGCACAGCCAGAGGAGCTGCAGGACAACCTGCAGCCACCCAGATGTACCTGCCTCTCACCAGGTACAAAATTCTGAATCACCTCCAAAACTCTGAAACAGATTCAGCTGAATTGAAACAGAACAGCGATCCAAAACACTGAAACAAAACACTTGCCTCTAAAATGGCTCAATCTGAAACTGAAATGAAACACTGTCATTTCATACAGCCCTAGAGCTTGCCCTTGAATTTCACTGAACACTTGAATTTCACTCTCATGAAATGATATATCTCAGGTTTTGTCTCCAGTTTACCCTTCAATTTATTTTTAAAGATGTCCCAGCCACCTGCAGAGTGTTCGGGATTGACAGTATGGTTGGGTGTAGAAAGGTAAGAAAATTTTTTTGACTTAACAAAAACACAACTACATGTAGTAACAAAACAAATACTGATAGACAAAAGCAATTCACGTTGGCAACTTATCGGCAGTCCTCTCTGATGCCTGATACACAGCAAGCTTCTCTTTCCACAAAGTTCAGTGAAGTGAGGCGTCCCTGAATGACACTGTCCAAAGGGGTACCGGGAAGGACCCTGGAATGCAGTCCTTGGGCTCCTCGAGGTCCACAGGCCCACTGATCCAGGCAACAGCTAACTAATCCTTTTCACAGAGTTGTATCTTCCTTCTGAATGGTTTCCAAATATTCCAACTCATTTATAGCTTTTGAATGATACTGATAATGAATGGCCACTCAGATTCCTTTTACTTCAACTGTCCTTAGACTGACCAATTAGCAGTACAAGCCTTGCATTCTTTTGATTAGGTAATTTTAACTACACGACAGGGCCTTACTACTTCAAGGCTTTGCTAAATTTACTAGGCTTTACTTTATACAAGACCTTACTACATTTTAAACTTGAATTAGGCTTTTAGCAACAACATACAGCTTAATATCTAAACAAACACAGAAAAACACTTGGTCTAATCTTCATAGGGCCTTCAGCAAGCACCTTTATTACACAGACATAATTTCAGCTGTCACAGACAGACCTTCAAATATACATTTATTTCTTAAGGTATGTCTACACTGAACCTGCAGCATAGCATGGTATAACAGGGTGTCATCCCCAGATACACTGAAATACACCCAGAGGCACCCCCAGAGTCCTTTATTTTTATATCTTTTTATTTGCTTATGGGCACAGACTCCCTTTCACTCATCTGCCATGTCTTGGTGTTTCTTTGGTTGTTAAAAGAGAGGCTGCCCCAGGGTTTCCCAGGCAGGGTCTTTGTTCTCTCCTCTATAGATGATGAGCTCCTGCCTTAAGGGCTAATTGCATGACTCTGACCTTCCCTTACTGTGTCCCATGCCTTGCAGGTGTTATCTGTACAGTGTCACTTTGTTGGGGCAAGAGCCTCCTCAGCCTCAGCCCCTTTACTCTAGCTAGGCCTACCAGCCTAGGCCCACTGGATAAGACCCAACTTAGAGGCACTAGCTTCACTCAATCTGCTCTGGGCCACTGGCCCTGTCTAGCTGCACCTGCTATAGCACTGGGCTCTCTGGCCCCCTATAGCTGCACCCTGTGGTGCTGCACTCTTTGGCCCCTGTAACTGTGCCCCCATGGGTGCTAATGAGGCCTCAACCTCCCTTATGGCCTCAGCCACAAATCACCAAATTAAGCTATAACATAAATAGGAAGCCCCTGGGCTGTAACTAAGAAAAGTTAATGTAGTCAGTTAGCCTTCTTACCTGTAGGCTCCATGTCTCTGCGTCCCCACTACTGGTTGCTCTCACTTGCAGAGTTGCTGCAGATTTGCTTGGAGCCTTCCAGCCCACATTTCTCTCTCAGCCTGGGCTCCTCTAGCTAGCTCAGACCAGGGTTTATATAGTTCTGGCCTGGGCCCTCCCCAAGTCATCTGACAGACCCCAGTCAGCTGACCAGCCTGCAAGGCTTAGCCTTTAACCCCTGCTCTGCTGGCAAGCTTTGCTCTGAAGACTCGAGTCTTAAAGAGGCTGCTCTTCTTCCTAGTAACAGGGTGAGGGTTCTTTGTTATACATGGAAATAAACTAACTAAAACTATACAAGCTAGTGGAGGTACTAGAACAATGTAATCATGGAACCAAGGAGCTTTGTTCAGGTTAATTTACCCTGCCAAGATACTGAAAAACAATTGCCTGTCTTGAATAATATTCTAACTTATCTAGATCATATCTCATACCAAAGACACTCATGTAAAAAGAGTTTAGGTGTCACTACACTGCAGTGTAGACATATCATTAAACATATGTAGCTACATTTACAAATAAGAAAGTTGATTTACAGTTACAATTAATGACCATAACCATCTCAAAGACTAGTAGCAAAGTCCCAGGTTTCACTAATTAGAAAAATGCCTGAACGGATTTTTCATTTAAAAATCTGTAGAAAATTGCCCTACATGCTAATCTTCTATTTAAATCAATGCAGCTTCTATACTTCTACCTTCTGTCAGAGGTAGAGAACAAATACACAAATATGGCCTCCTATTTGCCAAATTTAAGTGTAGTGTGATTTGTTGGCTTTGAATGCCAAGGTATATGATGCTGATAACAGCATTGGAAGTCCCCTAACTATAGCATCATGGATAGTCAGACTACAGTATAAAGCTAAAGTGATAACTAGCCTTAAGAGTTTAGCTGGTGTCTGTAAGGCCATGATAAGAATAAATGCTGTTCTCAAAGGAATGAATTATTAACATAGAAATGCTTGTGCTAAACACAGTAAAGCAGTGCTGTCAAGAGAGGCAAACTTCAGAGTACCCACTTCAAAGTAAGTTATTGTCTATACAGAAGCCATAAATCTAAGTAAACTATTATCCCAGTTTCCTTAACCTCGAAAATCTTCTTTGATTATAAATTGTATTAAACTTTTAAGCCTTCCTGTTTATAAATAATAAATAAAAAGTCAAATGAAGAATTTAGCTTTGCTACATAGTGAAGAGAATACATGTGTTTTTCAAAGTATATACAAATAAGAATGCTAACTTTCTATGTTGGAAAATATTGGTCTGTTTTCTGCTAATTTTTACTCATAAAAAATAATAGATATCCCTGGGAAAGCATAGTTTTAAAAATTGGTTTCTGAAATAAAGCTCTCTGACTTTAGATCACAGTACCTGTCCTAGGGAAAGCTGACCTGATCCAAAATGCCCTGAAGTAAATGGAAAACGTCCCATTATCTTTAAAAGGCTTTATACTAGATTTTGATGAATTAATGAATTTGAGGACAGTACAAGTAATAAGCATGCATTGTATTTGTCAAAATGAAACTTCCCATTTAGAACAGACTGCATATACAAATTCAAACTGCAGGCAATAAGGCTACAGGAATAGGAACATATGGGAGTCTCAAAGACCCAATCTCCTTAGTGCAATGGAACATGTTGTTTGTGCAGATGCCTTGATTGACAGCTTGGTTTAAGTAGAAAGTACATCTCAGACAGAAGGCTCTGTCTGTACATCAATGGCTTATCAGTATTTTTCTCCATTTTAGATGGTTTCTTAAAGCTATCAAAAGCATTTTTCAGAGAAGTCTTGAATTCTGATTGATTTATGCCAAGGCAAGTGATTTGTATTTTTCCTCTAAATGCCAGATTCACAGTTTCTGTGTACTTATATATAGTTACTTTCATCTCTCCATGCTAAATAGGATTTTTTTTTACTTCAAAGCTGAGAGAGATAATTTTCTTTGCTACAACAAAAAAATAATCAAACTTTCATATTCTTGTGGGTGAGATTCATGTATATTGGAGAGCTTGATGTAAAATTTAATAGAAACACGTGGCAATGCTTGACCTTATTTTAAAGTATAAATCATAGTCATATATTTTTTCGATGTGGGAAAAGTAACTGTGCACTGTTTTAATTTGGAATGGTACTGTCCAGTACTGAATTTGATTGTGGCATTAATCATTTAATTTTAGTAAAAATACTCTAGTAAATTTGTGCAACAGTATTATGAAAGCTAGCTAACACCCTAAGAAGTTCTAAAAAATGTAATATATTGGCAAAGCCACCCAGATGATTCTTTTTTGTTAATATCTGTAGCATTTACCAAAAAAATCAACACATAAAGCAATAGGATTAACACGTTTAAAGTATTCTGACTCTAGGCTTTGTGTTTCACATTAATTGGATTTATCTTTTATTTTATTAAAATGTGAATTAATATGACAATGAGGTACATTGTCAGAATATCAACTGGATCTTTAATAAAAGAATTTGCCAAAAGCACTTTGAAAAGGTTAACACACTAGCTAAGATGCTTTACAACACCATAAGCTAACATATAAGATACTTGGGGCTGGCCTGGGTCTTAATATTGTTATTATTAAGCACTTACAGTCTACAAGATGGCAAACTTACAAAAATATATCATTCTTCTGAAATTACACCAATCTAACTGATATCAGGATCAGACATTTTCAGCTGGAAAAATAAATTTATGGTATGTTCAAGTATAATGAAATCTTTATGAATTTAAGAGATTCATTCATGTTTATAAATGCATGGTCACACTGCTAGAAAAGAAGTGTTAACCGGAATCCCCAGTGCTGTATACAGTGCTACATGAGATATATAAAGAATAAAGATGAGGTGTGATGCTCATCAATCAGTAAAATGGTGTGACAGGATCTGCCTACAAAGGATGGCTGTGGAGCGCCCTAGTGGACATTATGAACCTATCTGGCCCTACTGTCCTATGCTTGCTTCCCTTGATAGCTAAATAAAATATGGGAGGCCAGAGATCAGAGTACATTCTGGCTGCTTCACTCTGGCTTGCTTATCCTTGGGTAGCCTTATTCTGGCCTCTATCCGTATCAGAGTGTAACAGGGACCCTCTGTCCCTGTTACAAAGACTCTGACAGTGAGTACAGGGCTAAAGGTCAGTCAGATAATGAGCCTATTAGTGACACCAGGATCTGAGATGGAAGAGGGAATCAGGAAATTGAAATAGGGCTGCTGAGTCATAGAAGTTCCCTCCTGTGCAGGCAGCAGGGGAGAGAGGGGCAGGAACAGTCTGATGATGCAAGACAGAGCTCCAGCGATGGGTAGTGACAAGAGGCAAGTCACTTGGAGCCTGTGACGGGCTGGAAAGGGATAAAAATATTATCAGAGAACCATCACAGCAGTGGGGAAAGCTACAACAAATATTTTAGAGGGACTTGGTTTTTTTGGGGCCGGTAGGCTGATGTTTATATTGTATTGGAGACTGGAGGTCTGGGTTGGGATTATCAGGGTGACGAAGATCCCAGAACAGGATGAAGGTAGGGCCAGGAGCCCAGTGCCCAGGCAGAGTAGAGATATAGCTGGGGGGAGGGCAGTGACCTAACAGAGTAGAGACAGAGTGAACCTTCTTATAGCAAGTGATTACAGATAACCATCCAGACGTGAGGGAAAAAGACTGTGGTGGTGTAGTGGACCCACCTTCAGCCAAGGGGGAGTAATGAGGAATGAAAAAAGTGGTGAAGCCTTGAAGGCTGGGTCCTACCTAGTGGACTCAGTCAGATGACAGAGCCAGAGAATAAAAGGGGATCAGGCCATTGTCAGATGAGATCCTGACACACTCCTAAAATGCCACAATGCTGTCCCCTTATAGAAACAGTAACTGGAAAAGGCAGGGAAGCCCATCGGGAAGACCAATAGATTTGTTTCTCTCTCCAAGAAATTGTAGACCCACAGAGACTTCTCCCATAAGAAACTAACAAAGGTGTGGCTGGTGTGGACAGTGAAGGCTAGTAAAAGACCACTAGTGGGCAGAAGGATTAACTCCTGACACCTGTATGAGCTCCAGAGCAAAACATTACTCTTCTGGCCATTCCCTCATCTATGGGAATTCTGGGTCTGCCTCATTTGCCCTTTTGTCTCTGGGCTTGCAGTCCTGCCTCTGGATCATGGGTCCCAGACCTTCTTGTCCACATCCTATGCCTGGCAGGTGTCCCCTGGGCATTACCAGCAACAACCAGGCCTTATGGGTCCTAATTGTGACCCTCCAGGCCTTGACTGTCTGAAGGGCTCTCTTTCCTCTGGTCCCATGGCCCTTACACAGATCAGCTTTTGTGTAGTTCCTCCAGGGCACAGACTGTTTCAGGGTACACTCTCTCTTGACTTCAGCCTCCCTGGCCCACCAGGTCCTTGCCTGTGGCCACAACACTCCCCGCCTCTAAGACTGGCCCCCCAGCTTTTTCTCTCTTTCTCTCCTCTCCTCAGTTTTCAGTCCCATGCTTCCCGCTGTGTCCCTGACCCTTGAAGGACTCTTTCTCTGGACCTCAGCCTCTCCTACCACAGGGGGTTTCCGAGGTGCCCTGGACATGGCTTTCCAACCATCCCAAATTGCCATACAGGCTACAAACAATTCAACTGAAAATGTACTTACTCAAGGATGTATCCCACAGCTCTTTACTTCTTCAGAGTCAGGGCTGGTCTGAACCTCTGACCCTGGGCTAGACTTATATAGCCCTTCCTCCTCCCCACTTCTTGTGACCTGGCCTCTATTTCTCAGAGCCAGGCTCAACGGTTCCCTCTTCTTCCTAATTAACAGGCTTATTGATCTGACCTGCCTTTTATATCTTGTTGCCTGCTACCTCTCTCTACTGGAGATGGATTTAATGTTCTGCAGCTAGCCTCTATTTAACACTGTACTCCCTCACTTCTAGAAACAGGGGTAGGGGTTCCCTGCTACAGATGTTCAGATAGCATGCTGACAGACACAGCATAAAAGCCTAGGGAAATACAGAGAGTTAATTTAACTGACGCACCCTCATGACCATCCTCATTAAAAAACTAGGTGACTGTGGCATCGATGCCTACACAGTCAGATGGATTG